CGGGAGGACCGCTGGCCTCTGCCGCCGCGGCCCGCGCGGTCGCCTAGTCTTTACGGACGGGTACTGGCCTCTGCTCTTTTTGTCTTCCTCCCGCCGGTCAGCCCTCGCTTCCCTCTCTTTTATTTCTGCTGGCTCTTTTCATCTTTTGTTTCTCGTCCATACTCCCATCCTTTCCCCCTTTACTCCTCCTTTCTCTACTTTGACAGAGCACAGTAGTCCCCAAATACCATGCATGCTGGTCGTCCTCCCGCTCCCCAACTTTACTGTTAAACTCTCAGGCGGGTCTCCACAGTCTCTGCCGCAAACTCAGAGTAGTGCGGGGACGCCTGAAAAGCCCTGAAGCCAGGACTGTTCCTTAGCAGGCAGCTCGCTCTGGATTCCAGTCTACACCCGCTCGCGTGCGCGACCACCACCGACTGGTCAAAGCCCTGCGCACCCCAGATGGGGCGGCGGAGTGGCTTCTTTGATCCTCCCTATCACATCTGTTTTCCATTTCTCAGGGAAGCACGTAAAGTCAGCTACTTAAACCCTGACTGTTGACTCACAGACTTCACAAGTTTTTATTCCGTTTAACGAAAGTAAACGGTGTGCTCCTTAGGGGAAGTGAGTGAGTTAAAGCTCCAAACAGTGGTAGAGATTGAAACTCTTGAGTGTAGAAATTATGGACACAGGCTGTATGTTTTGATATTTCTATCAGAAAGGATTTAAGGATACAGAAAATCACCGTGCTGCCTCCCTGCCAGGGATTTGTTTAGCAGATTCCTCAGCGTGAACTTGAGCACCTCAGAACATGAGGTTCTGAATATGATAGGAGCTGGCACGTTTGCGGGACGATCACGTTACTCACCAAATTTCAGCCGTATTTAGAACTAGGTTTAGTAAGGCACAGTGTGTCACGCTGCAAACCTGATTCGTAACAATCCAGCATTGCCCACAAAGTACATTGGCGGACGTTTACATTTAGGAGAAAATTCTTAGTTCTGCAAAAGCAATCATAATTGGAGTATTTTTCTCTTTTTTTATTTTTTATTTTTGGAAAGATTTTTCCTATAGCGCCTGTGTGCTTGCCAGAGAGACATAAAGAGAAAGACAGAAAGCGATAAATCACCCCCCACCTCCAGGGTAGATGGTCATGCCACAACCCCTTCTCGGGATCTTGGGCAGGGTCATGGTAGGTCGCGTAGGAGTCCAGAGTCTCAACCACTATGCCACCTGCTGACTCCTAGGAATCTTTTTTGTAGTTCTTAAGATATGGAAAATATGATTGATTTCTACCACTTTAAACACAGCTCCAACACTCACTCATAATCAGAACATATCTTAGCTGTAGGTTTCTGTAGGAATGAGAATAGTGACCCTCTCTTTACAACTAGTGCTGTAACAAACAAAACAAAACCCAACTAATAATTGAAGCAGTTTATTGTAAACCGTAATGCACTATGGAAATGTAAGTAATTAAAGAAACTGATCTGTTTGTGACTTTGTGATTTTATGAAGCAAGATACACCTGCAAAAGTAATCCCAAGATTTTTAATTCATCATTTCTGTCCTAATAGGTACATGATTGGCACGGCTTATGGGACTGAAGACCCTCTTGCCAAAAATCATATATCTTCCCCATAAAGCAAATCTATAATTTCCTCCATTAGAATAATTAATAGATTAAGTGACAGAGGTTATGGTAGAAGGCACAGTTAAAAATCCATATTCACTGCCTTAAACCAATTATTGATGCCTCTCTGGAGTGCTCCAGTACCTAGAACTGTGTCTGAAACACAGTACAAGTCCACAAATATTGGTAGAATTAATGAATAAAATTTTCATAGATATCCATATTAATAAAGTTAGTTGGCTCCTTGGGTCTGCCCAAAATCCAGTTTGTGAAATGAAGAAGACACCTCATCACTCTGCTTGTTGTCTTTTTTTTAAAGAACTATTTATTTTAAAATCTGAATTATTATTATTTAATTGCACTCACTAGCAAGAGACAGAGAGAGAGGGAAAGTGAGAAAGCAAGTCACCAGGTCTGAGACTCGAACCACAGGCGGCCATGTGGTAGGCCAGTGCCTGAACCACCATGCTACCTGTTAGCCCCACTTGTTTTCTTTCTCCATATTCCTCTCTACCATTTGGTAAGGCCCACTTTCTTTTTCTTTCTTTTTTAAGAGGGTTTTTTTGCTACAGGATGCGCTTGCCAGAAAGACAGAGACAGAGAGACAAAAAGCAAGAAATCACTTCCCAGGGGGGATGACCACGCTGCAATCCCTTCTCCTCCATTCTCCTCTAGGGATCTTGGGGACACAGGCACATGTGCCCAGCATGTGTTTTAAGTCGCTGGGTCCCAGACTAGAACTGCAGTAGATGGCGTGGGAGTCAAGTGACATAACCATTATACTATTTGCTAATCCCAGGCCCTTGTAATTCGCTATTATCTCACACCACCATCAGCACTTAAAATAGAGAAGTTTCAACTTTTACAAAAGGACAGAGCCAGAAAAGTATGTAGAGGAAGAAACGGAGTCAAGGACAGAATCCCAAGATCACGAATAGGCACAGGAAAAGAAGCCGGGGGACCAGACATTGATGCAACATAAAATGCAATGTTGGGACAAACCTAGGCCCATCCTGAGGTGGATACCAAACTTAACTGTGAAATATTGCTTTCTTTGACTAAAAAGGAAGATTTTCTGCTGAGACTTCTCCCTCCAGATGCATTTCTAGTGGGTAGGGTTACCTTTGTCTTCCTCTCTCCATTTCTCTCTGTCTCTGTGTGTCTCCCTGTGTCTTTTAATTCTCTTTTTTTTTGGAGAGGTTTTTGCTATAGGGCACGTGTGCTCACCAGAAAGACAGAGAGAGACAGTGAGACAGAAAGCGAGAAATCACCCCCCATGGGGGATGGTGACGCTGCAATCCTTTCTCCTCCATTCTTCTCTCGGGATCTTGGGAACACACACACGCGTCTGGCATGAGTTTAAGCGACCGGGTCTGGGACTCGAACCGCAGTCGACTACATGGGAGTCCAGCGACATAGCCATTATGCAAACTGCTGGTCCTAATTCCCTTTTTTTAAAGGTAAAGTATTCTCTGCTCTCTCAAGCCCCTCTTTTATTGTGCTAATTTGTGCCTTTCTCCATTCTATTTAGGAAAGGGAGCCAGATCCCACATGGTCAACTGCAGTTTGAATCCTAACCCTGGGAGCTCGAAAAACATGCCAGATGCATGTCCATGCATAGCCAAAAGTCGACGGGTTGGAGAAGTGGAGAAGGGATTGAAGCATGACCATATTTCACTGGAGTGGGGGGTGCTTTCCTCTCTCTCTCTCTCTCTGGTGAGCATATACGCCTTCTAGAACATTAAAAACATTACAAACTAAAAAGTATATAATTCACAAGTTCTTATCAGTAACAAACTCCAACCGATCATAATGCACACGTGTTTAATGCACTGCAGGTGAGAGCTGGGCTAGGTATTCGCTATACAAAGAAGGCAGCAGGTTGGAGCAGCTGGACAATACCGAATGCAGGTGACCGACCCTCTGTATCTGCAAGTTCTGCATCAAGTCAACCAACAGCTGATCAGAAATATTCAGGGAAAAAAATGATTTCATCTGTGCTGAACATACACAGATTTTCTTCTTTGTCATTAGTCTCTGAATGATACAGTGTAACTGTTTTCATAGATGTCACATTGAATTAGGTATTGTTAGTAATCTAGAGATGATTTAAAGTGTAAGGAGGATAGGTATAGGTTACTGCAAAATAATACACTATTTTGTATAAGGGACTGGTACGCCCATGGATTTTTGGTATCAGTAGATACTGAGAGATGCTTGTATTTCCCAATATTGGATATCTACATAAAACACTATTGAGTATGGAGACTGAAATATAGAATCATCTGTAAATTCATAGTAGATTCAGCCTTTTTAGAGCTTAAAACTTTTGGGAGCCTATCTTTAAAAAAAGAAATTTCAAAATACAAATTTGAAACTGTTAAGGACTATGAGGGTCTGAAATTTTACTCTATGCACAACCTCATAAGTTAAGTTCCAAGGATGCAGAAGACAAGAGATACCTGGGTCAGAGACACAGAGACATAGAAAAGCAAGCAGGTCTCCTTCTGTCTCTGCCAAGAAGTATTTTATTACCTCATCTGACTACTTCATCACTCACAGCATAGCAAGCCACATGAGCTTCCAATTTGCCTTAGTTCTTTTCATCCCTAAGTCCCACAAGGGTGATGTGGGACTGGGTCCAGGTAGATGCTGCACCCACAGTGGGCACTCATCAAAGCTGAGGAACTTCAGGCTTAGAAAACTGCAGTCTTTAAAGGGATGGCAAGCTAACCTGCTCAACTTTGCCCAGGAGGGAAATACTACATTTATTAGACTAGTCAGCAAACAACTTCTCCTTCTACCATAGAGGGAGACTCCATCTCTGTCTTCCAAGATTGTTCACTATCCGAGGGTTCCTGAAAACACTGTCTGCACTGGAACAAAAGCCATCCATGCTTCCATTCACAGGAGGCAGAAACCTGAGACCAATGGAGATTTTTCTCCCCTGCGAATTAGGTATAAAGTGACTATTTATTTCAAATGATAAAGTAACAATTTATGAATGTAAAATAGCTGAT